TTTTTTTTTTCCATTTTTAACAATTTTTTAAACATAAAACAAAATTAACAGGTTACTGCCATTTTTATACGATCAACTAAGAAAATTGATGAGATGGGAAAAATATCAATACAACAGTGTTAAATGTCCAATTTCCTCCATTCTGAGATTCTGAACATAGTGAATGATTAAATCTGACAAACTGCAATGATATGAGTTTGTTTCCATTTTTGAAACTTTATTACACAATACAAGATAACAAGTTTACCATCATTTTTACATAATCAACTAATAATGTTGTAAAGATGCAGGAAATGTCAACCAAACACTTTTACATGTCTTATTAGTTAAATAATAAGACTGTTAACATGCCTAAGAATTGAATCTGAGGAAATGTGAAACAAGACAGCACTGTTCTGACATGGGTTTATTTCCATTTTTAACACTTTTTTTAACATAAAACAAAATAAACAGTTTACTGCCATTTTTATAGCATCAACTAAGATAATTGATGAGATGGGAAAATATCAATAGAATAGTGTTAAATGTCCAATTTCCTCCATTCTGAGATTCTGAACATAGTGAATGATTGAATCTGACAAACTGCAATGATATGAGTTTATTTCCATTTTTGACACTTTATTACACAATACACGATAACAAGTTTACCATCATTTTTACATAATCTACTAACAATGTTGTAAAGATGCAGGAAATGTCAAACAAACACTTTAATGTATCTTATTAGTAAAATAATAAGACTGTTAACATGCCTAAGAATTGAATCTGAGGAAATGTGAAAAAACAGCATAACTTCTAAAATAATGGCCCGATTATGCTGATTTTCGAACTCAACCTGCGTTTTAGTAAGATTGACCACTCCTGTGAGTTTAATGACAATTGGCCCATCTGTTTTTCTTAAATTGTGTTTACAGTGTTGCACATATGCTGAAAAAAGGAAAAAACAGCATAACTACTAAAATAGTGGCCCGATCATGCCCATTTTCGGACTTGACCTGCGTTTTAAAAAGATTGATTACTTCTCTGAGTTTCATGACAACAGGCCTAACGGTTTTCCTTAAAATGTGTTTACAGGGTTGCATATATGCTGAAAAGAGAAAAAACAGCATAACTTCTACAATAATGGCCCGATCATGCTGATTTTCGAACTTGACCTGCGTTTTATGAATATTCATCAGCTCTGTAAATATAAAACCAAAAAATAAAACTGTGTTCCACTTATCGTGTTTACAGTGAAAGTGCACGGCGACGGCATCGGCATCGGCATCGGCATCGGCGACGACGGCGACGACAGACGCAGGTGATGGCAATATGTACAGACACATCTGTGTCTGTACATAAAAAGTAAGAGCATAAACATTTATCAAGTGAAACATTCAGCAGGTTTTTGAACAGACCACGGCACTATGATTAAATCTTTATTTATCTCTCAGTATAAACATCAGGTGAAACATTCAGCAGGTATTGCCACCACTATGACTAAATCTTTATTTATAAGATATCTCTCAGGTAAGCTGGCAAGGAGATCTTTAATATATACTGGTAAGCTATTAAGTAAATTAAACTGGTAATTAATTGAACAATACTTGAGGAATTGCTCCTAGAAACTTTACTGACAATATAGGACACTTAACTACTAGTATATAAAATTAGGACAAGTTTGAATCCTTCACAGTTGTTCATCAAGAGAAAAAAAGACTGTTTTTGTATATTTCTAAGCCCCCAGTTATTGACTTTAAGAATGTCAGGTGATGACCTAGCAAAGGACAATGAAAGTACTGTTATTGTTCCTCTATCTGTGTATACTTGATTGGGATGACTCTTGACCTACTTGCCAGTAACAACCTTCAAGGTATGTTGTATGAGATTTTCGCGCCAAATCTAATGGATATTTATCACATATTAAATACCTTTAACTGTGTTGTATCCTTAGTCCATGAACTCTGTGAAATATCAAAAAATTCTGATCGTTATCATAAGTTTAATTGAAGACAACCCAATACAAATACTGAATACAATACAATGTAATATTATAATATAACATACATGACTTACTGTATTTATATTCCTTAGAAACAAGGCTTCCCCCCTAGAGCTGTCAAGCCAGTATATTTTGGACTCCCTGTACCCCAAATCCTGGGGAAATCCCTGCTTAGTAACATATATATTTGACAGCTTACCTAGCTTGTTATCCAAGGTAAGTTCTATTTGTGGCTTTGTGCTGTGATATCCCTGATAACCAAGTGTTGGGTGGCAGAGTGAACATTTGCTAATGACTCAAAACGCACTAGTTATCAGTGCGAATGTGAAATACCAGGTAAACTTTGTATCTCACTTTCAAATTAATCATCAGATATATTGAGTAGCAAAAACATTGAAGATAATTATACAAACAAATGAAACCAACCTTCCAAACAACTTTTCTTGGGGGGGGTGGGGGGGTGGGGTGGGGGGGCTAATTACACCTGTCAACTTGCAAATGCATTTGCTTTTTCAGTTAAGATTCATAACTGTATCCTAAAATAGAAAATGACTACTACAGTAAATAACCTGGGAAGGTATGGGGAATGGAGGTACTTCTCACTGCCATTGTGTTGCAAGTCAGAAGTGAATCAGAATGTAAAAAAATTTAAAAAATAGAAAACAAGCAAAGAAAAAATCCAATATCATTATGAACCACACACACACACACACAAACCCTGCTCTTTGTATGTTAACCTCATACACCTTGATAATATTACGCAGCTCTCATATGACTCAAGTAGATCCTGATTTTTTACCTGCCAACCTCAAATACTTGGGCTGGGTTTCAATAATAAATAATATGGTCAACTCACCCTTAGAGAGACATAACTCTCCATAGGGATCAACTCATAGACATCTGTCGGTATATTCCGTGAAGTTCGGTTATCCATGCTGTCTTTTCAGTAATTATATGATATCATCTTCTTATTTTCACTGAATGTTGGTCCGACAACCTGGGCATCTATTTTCTCCAGTTATTTCATTTGGCGGTCGGTGTTTTGGTTTGACAGAGGTCTTGTTAAAATCGAATTCCGCTCCTTGGAAAAAATGACTTACATTCCCTGAGATACGAAGAATGGTGCTCGTTGTCCTATTTATTCCTGGCCATTAATTAGTGTAAATTAAAAAAGATATGACTATGAATGCACAACACTAATTACAAATTCGACTCTCACAGAAAAATCTTCCCATCACAAGACGCATGCGTATTACTGGAAGTTGGACACTTCCTCCCACAATGCAACATCCAGGAAGCTAATGGCAGCCCCCACGTGAAACAAATGTGCAATTTCGAATAAAATACTCTTTCTCCTCGTTTTAACACCATTTGCCACAGAACAGCAAACTTTGACGCAAGTTTTATTGCTTTCAATATTGTCAATCTAAAATACTCTTTCTCTTCGTTTTAACACTATTTGCTACAGAACAGCAAATATTGACGCAAGTTTTACTGCTTTTATTCAATATTGCCAATCTATTTTCAAAGTAATCAGAAACATTTAAAAATCTGTTGTTACACGTTTGGTTGTTTTGATGTGTAACCAATTTGCTGTAAAGATATTCATTTTTGAAAGCTTTTGTCAGTTAAACGAGGCTTTCGATATTTTTTAGCTCAAAAATACACAAAAACACTTTTGCTGAGTTGAGGTTTTTCCCATGCAGTGTAAAATTCTCTTTAACCATTTCCATACGTTCTTTATCGAAATGTTTTTACTTTTTCATGGCTTTTACAGATTTTAACCGTGTTTACCAAAATTCATTATCATTAATCATGTCCACTTTCGAATGTCAAATGTTTCAGCAAAATCAATAAAATGGTTATCAATATCATTCACAAAAATCACTGTCTTATGTGTGAAGAATTAACCCCGAGCCCTTGCATGGAAAAAGTACAAATAGGAAAAGGTAAGCATGACGAAATGAAAAAATGAAAAAACAACAAATCAGGAGAGATAATTACTTCATTTTTTCTTTCTTTATTTCTGTCTTTTTCTGTACATCACAGGTACGCTTGTTGGCTATCCGTGCCATGTGCATCTAGCCGGGCACTTCATGGCCATAAAATTTGCAAATTCACCGAGATGACATCAATATTAAAACATACGTCCTTTTTCTAGAGCAGTTCTTATTCCCAAGTGAAAGATACAGTCAAAAGAACAGAAATGCAGCATGTCGCTGTACTAAGGAACTCTAATCAAAGAGACCGAAGCCCATGTCGTCGTCGGACTCCTCGGACTCTTCCTTGGCTGCCGGAGCCTCTTCCTTCTTCTCTTCAGCGGCAGCTGGAGCAGCGGCGGAGACTGCAGCAGCAAACTTGGATGGATCAGCGAGGTACTCCTTAACCTGGAATGACAGGAGAAAAAAGTTGTGTGGTAAATTACCAAATTCTTCAATGAAATTTTTGAACTTCAAAGAAATGCTGAGACAACCAGGGCAAAGCATAAGTTGACTGGCCACCAAACAAAAGACAAATATTAATCACAAAAAAAAATATCACAAATACATTCATTTGGGTTTTAAGCCCAGTGAAGTAAATTGCATCTTTCACATTAACATAAAATATGTCAATAGTATTTATTTTTTTTCTCAATCATCAAATAGGAAACATTTAGCTTTTCTCTACAAGAAAATTCCTGTAAATTCCAATAATAATATACACATAATATACACAATATCCTACTCTTTACATACAAAATAGGTTTAGCACGAGTCACTCACAGTTTCAGCTGCAGGGAAACTGTAGTCTGTTTCCACGGCAATGGCCAGCAAGTTCTTGAAGCCGTTGATGATGCTGTGTGGAGCAGAGGCTGCAGTAGGGTAGCCGATTTCCAGAGAAATGGCGGCAATGTTCCTCACTCCCTACAAAAAGATATGAAACGTTCCACTTAAGAGTTTCATCTGCTTTAGGTAGCGCTCGATTTCTTTGACATTTTATCAATAGCTTAAAGGTACATACGAACCGAGCATCGGTGGAGTGTGGATTCCCAGTAACACATGTAAACCACTTCTACTAGATTCTTATATGACTCAAATAATTTCGACATGCCAAGGGATAAACTGAATAGATCACTCGATCGGCCATAAAAGACCTTTAGACTGCTCCTTTCTTTAAATTTATGGTTGTAAATTTAACCTACTTCCGTGACCTACTTTCCTGCCCCATTGACATACAGCTTAGAATACCAGCAGAAAAATCTGTTCAAACATCACTTTGGGGTAAAATTAAACAATGCCTTTTGGTAATTCTCTTAGTTATACTACTTGTAACTATATGCTGGCATTTGGTTGGTTTTTGTGACAAAAAATTGACTTTGTATGCATCTTTAAACTCTCTAATTTTTTCCTATATCTCATTCAACAATGTACTTTTTTATTCACTGATCTAATTCTATAAAGATAAGCGAGACTCGGACCTTAATACAGATGCTCTAGATCTACAATGCAATATTGGAGATAATCATCGATTTTAATACCAACTATCAATTTAAGAAAAAAATGACTGGTTTAAAGATCATGAGAGTGTCTTTTATCTTCTCACCTCCATGAAGGTTTTACGGATGTCCTCTGGCTTAATGTCCAAGATTTCAGGCGAGAAGACTGTTCCGGAGTCGTAGACTGAAATAAAAGCACAATCTCGTGAGCTGACGACAACAGATTCTGAAACAAAGACTGCTTGATCAACTAAGAAAAACAAAAATTTACTTTCTGGACCAGATTTTTTTTATAGATTTTGATTTGAAATGAACTGGCGTAAAAAAAACATGCTTTAATACAAGCATCAACTTCTTTTACTGTAGTACCATGAGCAATGAACAACCCATCTTAATGAATAATTCAACACTAATCTGGTAACAATGGCACAAAAAAGCAAAATATAATCATCTCCTTTTCTTTCTTCCTTCTTTTTCCTGTTGTGTTTTACCTTGTTCAATGATCAACCCATAGGTAAAAGGGAAGATCTTCAACATCTGAAGCAGGGTGGCCTCAGAAGCTCCTACTCTGTCCCCAACCTTGATCAAATGGACTTCATTCTGAAATGGAAAACCAGGATATGAAAGTAAATTGTTCAGAAAACAAGTCCATCTAGCACATCAGAGAGGCTTCACTGACTTCTGAGTGTGCACCACCACCTGAGTGTGGCAAAAGTATTACAGTATAATGAAAGCAAATTGAACAGAAAAACAAGGCAAACTATAGGATCAGAGAGGCTTGACCACATCAAAGTGAGCTTTTAAAGGTTTTCCAAGTTCTATAGAAATAACCTGAAAGGTGTAACCACCTCCTGAGCATGTACCACCAGCAGTGTGTGGCACATCAAAGGTTGGGCTTTAAAAAGTTTTCCAAATAAAACACCAGCCACATAGCAGATCACTTACCAAGATTTCAATGGTTCCCTTGGAAATCTTGGTTGGGATGGACAGAGCCTGGAAGAAGGAGGTCTTCTCTGGTCCCAGGCCAGTGTTCTGAGCTGGAATCCTCACGTCCACTGGGGCCAGAGCACCTGCCTTGGCTGCAGCAGGGACCTAGAGATAATAATAATAATATTGATATAATAATAATTATCATAACAATAAAAAATAGAAATAATAATAATAATATTTTTAAAGTCAAGTATACAAATTTGCTCAATATACTTTTGAGACTTTGTAAAGTACATGTTTGTTGTACAAGTTTGTTGATATTCTCAACTCTTTACACAGATCAATACAAAGGAAAAGATGACAGTTGGAAGACAGCAGAACAACCAGATTGAGCCTACACACATTGAGTGAGGGAGTAATGCCAAGTAAAATGATCCATTTAAAATTATTTAAAAATTAAAATAATGCATAAATTAATAAATCGATAAAATCAATAATGAAAATGATGACATATCAATGAAAATATATTAAAAGAAAGAAAATATCCTCAGCAGTAAAGGAACCTGTTTTCTTTTCTTTTTTTTTACCTTGTTTGACAGGATCAAATCTCTGGTTTCGTTGAGATCCTCCTTGGTGAACACAAAGCCTACATTGCCTCTAATGTGAGGGAGCAGCCTGTAAGAAACACATTCAGAATAAAACTCTTGAGCAAATCTTGGTCAATGCATTCTACCAATACTTGGAACCCTTTTCACACTGAATGGTTTACTTGAGTAATGCATTCTGTATTACAGAAATAGCCTGGCTATTATGTAAGAAGGCTAGCTGACTGTTCTAGATGGAAAATTGTTATTTTTGATGGATGTTTTTTTTAAAATTAGATTCATAAAAACCAAAATCCTTCATAGTAAATTATATACTATCTTTCTTTAATTGCAAGCATGATTTCGAGTTGTAAGAAAAAAGTAGGAAGAAACAGCTCAGTGACCTTATAAATGGAGGCAGAAAACTCACAAGAAAAAATCCAATTTATTACTTGAATTGGATTCGAAAAAAAAAAATTGATTGTACGTAAATTAACTATACATTTATAGAGATTGTGCATTACACTATGACCTTGACCTCACCTCTCCAGAGATGGATTGTTCGACATGTGACCAGTGATGGCCTTACGCATCATGGTGTTCTTTCCCATCAATACAACTGGAAAGGAGAGAAACATCCACATTTATAGTTGCTATATGAGAGGAAAGAAATCATTTGCTCGGTTCAATAATTGGTTGGCATTGGTGGCGAGAGCAGGAGTCACCCTGTGTTGCTCAAGCAGTAACACCTTGACAACCGAACGACACAATAAATTGTTAAAATACTGAGATGGATACTTAAGCGAGGTTGGCAATTATTGAAGGTGGGGTCCATATTAGTGATGAAACAAGACTTAAGTTAATATAACTAAAAGCACATGTAATCCATTTTCGTTATAAATTTCCTATCCATGGGTGACAGGATGAAGTAGTTACTGTAAGTGATAAGTATAAGTAGTTCTACTTACCAGCTTTTCCACGCATGGACCTTCTGATCTGCTGCATCTGTTTGGAGCCGACATTGTCAGCACCCACAAGGAAACACTTGGGGTACTCGTCCAGGAGCTGAATCAACTTCAGGAAGTAGTTGGACTTCCAGGTGGACTTATCTTCCTTAACCATCTTGTGTGAGTTAGGGATAGCTTAGAGCCGTTTAAAGACAAGTCTGAAACTTGAAAGAAGGAACAATAAATTTTTACATTTGAAATATTACTCCTAAACGCTCAGCCAGTTTTAACTTTACAAGTAAGGGCAACAGATAATAGTGTCACATTTATAACTAAATGAACAAGAAGATGTAAGGTATATTTCATTTTTCAAGGAAACGAGGTCTTTTTAAGAGTTGTAGGTTATTCAGTTGGACAGTGAGAAAGCTTCCGGGAGTTCTGCCCACGTTACTTGTTCAACTTCAAGTCTTGCTGTCTATCTATCAGATTTACTTCATAAAAAAAGCCTTCATTCGTGTAAAATTTGAGAAACTTTTAGCTGAGAAGTTCGTAAAAACAAACTATGGATTGTGGGCTTAGTTCATGGGAGCAAAAGATGTCAAAATGAGATCAAAATTAGGAGCCACGTGTGGTGCCTGACATACCTTTCAATATGGCGAATCGAAGAGAAAAATTATGTGCGCAAGCGTGTTGATTACTGCGCTATCTGTCACCAAGAAAAGCAAAGAGAAAATATCTTTTATTGATAGAAAAAAGGAGTTTTGGGTATTTTCATTATACGTTATACTTAAGAATATAAAATGTGCTTATGCCATAAATATATGTTGGAGAAAGTTAATAAGCAGATATCTTTGGTTGTGTCTCATCTTGGCAGTGCCCTTATTGCTAAAATTGAAAACGTAAATGAGTGAGACTTATTAGTGTTTTAAATCTTGTAAATAATGAGGCCAGTAGCAGTAGATGAAATTACCGGTATATGGAGTTATTTGTTGACTGTGAGTACAATGACAGTGCATTGGCAACTTTTATTAACTTAATTTGACCCCGTATTTGATTCTGCCGGCACCACACATCATAAATTAATACCAATTACTAGTTAAGGATGAAGGTATTAAAAACTGAGTCTAGTGACAGTGTGCATTTGACACAAGAGGGTCTTCCCTCCATTAGATTCATACAGGTTAGGATTAGCGTGACGCAAATGGATCAAATTATAGAACGAGGCTTACCTGTATCCTGGATCCTGAATCCCAGGGGACTCTCGTACACTGACAAAATTCATGTACCTGTACTGTAATTTACCAAGTTTACAAAACAGCAACAAGAACACAGACACTAAGTTAGGGCTCATTCTCTATGAAGCTATTGTTTCACGTAGATCACTCCAACTCGGTGGGGGCTCTTGCTAAATGCAATCAGATCAACTGAGTGATAGGCCTTGAACAGCTAGGGGGGATTAACATTCATTTGCTCTTCATTTTCAGTGTAACCGAATGCGCAAAAAAGTTAATCACCTCCCAGCTTCTTAATTTGATTGCATTCAGCAGGAGTCCCTGCAGAGTTGGATTGATCAATGTAGAACAATAGTTTCATTGGAAATTGTCCCTTAGTTTGGTCTTAGAAGTATAATGTGAATGTATCTTTCTGTTTGTGAAAATTATTTTTCTCTTTTATTTACAGATCGATTGGACAGAGACGTGGATTCTTTGCTTACTAGGCTTCCACCTGCTGTGCTATACCCTGATCTATATAACTCGTAGGACAGGTGCTGCACAGGCTGTTCTCTTTGTCTTCATGTGTAAGTTATGTTTACATGTGCATATTTGTGTATGTGTGTGCATGTGTATATATGTACATGTATGTGTTTGTATACATGTGCATGTGTATACATCTTGATGTGAGTATTCGCATACGTTTGTCTGTTTTTGTGTATATGTGTGTGTATATGTGTATGTATATATGCATGTGTTTGCATGTGCATGTCTGTGTATATGTACACACCCTTGCATGAGTGTGAGAAAGAGAGATAGATTTGTGACTCATACTAGTTTATAAGGTAATCCAACTTACCTTTGAATGTCTGTATGCATGCTGTGTTTGACAAGTGCTTAAAACTTTGACAGATTTTAACATGCACTAAAGAGCTCAAGACTAAGGATTAAAATGTAATTTTTTTAAAAATTTTCCCTGAGATATGTTTAGCTTAACTAAATCAATTGCATTCTTGGTTGATAATCTTTTCTTTATTATTTGAATTATTTCAGTAATGGTGGTATATTTTTCTGAAAATATTAATGAAAAAGCAGCTGAACATTGGAGGTATGTATATTTATATACGTAATTATTATAATTTTTTGTATTTAAGATTTCATGCATATTCTAATGTATTTTGTTTGTATTTGGTTAGTACATTTAAGCTGACATATTGCCAATTTTCATTTACATTGAGATGTTAGATTGTGAATTTTCAAGTTAAATAATTGCAACATTATATATTTAATTTTGATTTTTACCATGTTTTTTAATTTCAGATTAAATTATAACTTTAATAAATAGGATAATTTTGCAATACCAAATCAGAATCATTTTGGATGAAACTATTTACTATTATTTATACTTCCTTGATTTCAGGTTGTTTTCAAAGCAGCAGTATTTTGATAGTAATGGGCTGTTCATCTCTCTCCTGTTGTCTACACCTTTATTGCTGGGATGTATGGCAATTGTGGTATGCTCATGTTTTCTCTCTTTGTCTCTCTCTCTCCTTCTTCCTCTCTCTCTCTCTCTTACACACACACACACACACACACTCTCTCTCTCTCTCTCTCTCTCTCTCTCTCTCTCTCTTTCTCTCTCTGAATTGATTCTATTTGGAGTTCCTTTTAATTCAAACACAAAAAGTAATGAATGATACTGTGTAACCGTCTTAGGCTTATTTGCTGTTCAGGTAAAACCTTTAACATTTTGAGGCAGGCCCGTAGCCAGGGGGGGTTCGGGGGGTTCGAAAGAACCGCCCCTTTTGCTGGGAAAAGGTTCACTCTGGGTAAAATTTGATCTAGGTACATGAAGTTTTTATGGAAAAAGGTCCACTTTTTCAGAAAAAGAACCCCCCTTTTGAAATAGCTGGCTACGGGCCTGTGAGGTAATATAAAATCTTTCACAGTAATTGTAACAGTTGTGAAAATAGTTTCTTTAGTTCTCAGGTTTTTTAGTGATTACAGTTTTTATTTAACATGTTTGCTATGTTGTCTTTTGTCAGAATTTGGATCAGTTTATAATAAAATGAAATCTGTAATTCCTTTTATTGTTCAACTCTGCTTTTTATGTATTTAATTTTTAAAGATTTATTGACATTGTTTTGTATCCATATATCTATTATATCAATGTAACAGTTATATATCTATTAAAAATAACATTGTAGATGTTATGGCTATGGGAAGTGTCACAGTTAATGGTCAGCCTGAAAACAAAACAAATACAAAGACAGGCAAAGAAACAAGAGGCTGAACAAAAGGAAAAAAAGAAATGAACTCCCATGAAGTGAAAGCAAAGAGGAAAAGAGGATAAAAAGGAATACCCCAAAAAAGGAGTCAGTGTTAACTGTAAGAGGGAAGAAAGCAAATCAGCTTCTTTCTGTTATAGCATTCCTTGATTACAGTTGTGGTTGAACAGGTGGTTAATGGAAGTGACTAAGATGGACTCCTTTAACTGATGGAGAGAAATAAGAACAATAAGCTTCCAAGATTATAATGGTGGAGGGAAAGGAGGGGCTTCTATTGCAGGTTAAAAAAGGGGGAAAATTGGGGGGGGAGCTTTTTCATGATAAGAGGACATTTTTTGCCACAGTGGGATGGAATGTAGACCACATTTTTACTTAGAGCAGACCTTTTCCGTGATGGAGGGGTGGTTCTCCGAACCCCCACCCCACCACCCCTGCCTACAGGTCTTCTCAAGATCTTGTTATTCAGGCCTACCCAACTACCAGACTCCGCACCTAAGGATCCTGAATTAACCGGTATATCGGACCATACTACCCGTTTTCAAGGTGTGTGTCAGATCGCATTTCGGAGTATCAGCCAGAACACCGACAGGATGAGCCCTGNAGACGAAATATTAAGTCTATTCTAACACGGGACAATTAGTCAAAAGTAGAATATTTCATACACCATATATTTCTTACATTAGTAATAATTGTTATTTTTTACTTATTTCATTATCATTTAAGAGTCACTGTAAGTTTATACGTATATTTTCTTATATATTCTGACCTTTGTGCTTGCCCTTGTCATCGCCCTTGCTATTGCCAACCAGAATTTTAATCCAAACCATAAAGTGATTCGAGACAGTAAAATTTGTAAACACAAGCACACGTACAACAGTCAAAATATGTACAGACACAAACGCACATAAACGGTAATCCACATTCTTACACACAAAGACGTGTTTACACTGTGAACACCATACTTTGGAATACGTACATATCTGGGGCACTTGGACTGCTCGCAGTGACGGAACATGTGGAAAGAGAGGAATAGCTCTTATAGTATCTATAGTATGAAGAGGAACAGCAGTATTTATCAGTAGATGTTCCACAGCAGTAATCGGAACAGTAGAACGACCTGATGTAAGTGCCATTTGAGTTGTAATATGCGCAGCAATATTCTCCTGTAAGCAACAATATCAAACGTCACGGCAAATTTCGGGTCAAGGTCAGATATCAAATCTTGAGTGTTAATTCACATCACAAAATTTTCATTTTACTTCGATGATTACAAAATGAAAAATCACATCGTCCATAACCAAGCCCAACTGTGCATACAAAGCAGTGCGGGAGCGATTGGCCATCGTAAACTTAAGGGATAATAACTCTTCGGTTTTGGCCAAAAAATGGATTTTCCTGGAGTAAACAACAATTTTCCCATACTTACCAATGATTAATGAATCCATTTTTACATTCAAAGTTAGTCCCTGTTTTTTTTTCAAAAAAGTTTGTTTTTTTTTGTAATGATCTCTTAAGAGATTATAACAGAGTATAGCCATAAATGGAGGTCACGTGGTCTAAAGACAAGCTCAGATCAGAATAATGGCTATAACTGCCGCTTTTGCGGTAAAACAGAATATATTATATTTCTATGAGTTGCTCACATTGTTATTATCGTGAAATATAAATATAGATCTCACACGAAGAGTTACCTGCATTATCCCTTTAATGAATAACTCGACTCAATTATGACATACAAACCTGATGCTGTGGTTGGACTGGTGGCAGTGGGACATAACCAACTATAGGAATAACTCGGGTAGTAACTGTCATAGAACGAGTCACAGCAGTATTTACGAGTAGATGTCCCGCAGCANTCTCTTAAGAGATTATAACAGAGTATAGCCATAAATGGAGGTCACGTGGTCTAAAGACAAGCTCAGATCAGAATAATGGCTATAACTGCCGCTTTTGCGGTAAAACAGAATATATTATATTTCTATGAGTTGCTCACATTGTTATTATCGTGAAATATAAATATAGATCTCACACGAAGAGTTACCTGCATTATCCCTTTAATGAATAACTCGACTCAATTATGACATACAAACCTGATGCTGTGGTTGGACTGGTGGCAGTGGGACATAACCAACTATAGGAATAACTCGGGTAGTAACTGTCATAGAACGAGTCACAGCAGTATTTACGAGTAGATGTCCCGCAGCAGTACTGGGAACAGTAGAAAGAGCTTCTGTAACTGCCATATGACGTGTAATACGGACAGCAATATTCATCTCCGTTCACTGTAAAAGAAAAAGCGATGGGCTAAAGTAAGCGTCAGGTTAAAAATGAACTTGATCAAATTATTACTTCCTATTTTATACTGTTTAGTAACTGTTGCTAGTAGTATGTTTAATTAAATCAAGGAAAACATACAGCCATTTCATATGATTAATGTACTATCCTTCTTCATTTCCTTTATCTTCATTTTCATTTCATATAACCATTACTGTATCTACACCTTTGATTATATTTGTGCAAAATTTTGGTTAAGGAAATAACAAGTCTGTGTTTTATTTTGTACTCATTTTGGTCTTATTGCGTATACCATATTATATGTACATATTTTAATTTGTAAATTTGTAAAACGTATTCTTATTCATTTTCTGTACGACAACACTATTTTGGTTCCTATGTCTTAATAATCTCATCATCATCACTATTATTATTATTATTATTATTATTATTATTATTATTATTTTAGTCATGCAGGTGGTATTCTCGGCATAAAGCAACCACATATACCTGTATGGACCTCACTTCAATACCCGTTACTTTTTTACAATATGCTATCATTATTGCTTAAAATCAATAAATCTTCACAGCTCAATTCGTTCTCAATTTGTACAAAACTTTTGGCTCGCTGAGGTCGGTTGTTTGCCAGCGATGTTACATATCATACAGGGCAAAATAGGACGCTAAGCAAATTTATTAAGGATGGGCAAACATGCAGACAGTTTTATCACAATTTTAATGTGTCACTCGACAGGGATGTATCAGCACTGACATTTTAAGGATAAAATGGAAAGATAAAGCATTAACGGACGTGATTACTCAGTGCATGTATCACGTACGCCTTCGCTTCGAAAGGCTATGCTACCTTCAACTGGATTGTGTATAAGAAAAATATATGTCACCATTGTTTCGTATCTACTGAAAATATTTGTGTCCCAATATTCACCACAAGCTATCAAAACTTCTGTATTAACAAAAACACAGCACCTATTTTTTATATGAATAATGGCATTAATGAAGGTGAAAAAATACACTATTATAAATGTTTATATTTAACTATTTAGTTTATTAAATATCTTAACCTTTAGAGGAGATAAAAGTAACCTATTTGTAAGAAAAAAGTTTCAAAAGGAAGATGTACAGTCATCATAATTTTCCAATGGTTTTGATTACGGTATTTTTAATTTTGTGTCACTCCTGCAATGAGATAGAGACTGGTAGGATCATTCCTAAAAGTATAATCAGAAATGTAGGATTCGAAGACGGATTAAGGGATTTCGCAATGGTTTTTGGTATGAATAAATCTTAGTCACTAAGAGAAAATATTCAAAACTTCCAGAACAATAAGTTTTAAGCACTACAAACGTCTAACGCACATTATGTACCGTTTAATTGTATTCTATAAACTGTAAAAATATTGAGTGTTAAGCAATATTGATTGTTAAGCAGTTTTACGTACCTGACAGTATGATTACCAGCAATGTTATTACACATGTTAACACAATCTTGATTTGCTTTTCCATGGCGTTGATTCAAAGAATTATAAGCTTGGGATAACTTTAAAGAGTTTGCAAAAAAAAAAACCTTACTCCACAGAGATCGTCAAAATCCGAAAATATGTCTTCGCGTTGTGACAGTCTCGTCTGCGTTACAGACGAACTTAAAGTCTAGATTGGCCACATTCCCAAGCAGTGGGGTACACGTCAACTGATTGAACAGTGAATCCCCTAAAGCATTAAATGACATGTCACCGTATATCATATCAGCGACCTCCAGCTAATATGAGGCATCCTTGTATGTAGTTGCTATTGGCGTCGTGATAAGTCGATTACGCATGCGTCACTGGCGGCTTCTTCCTATCGGGCAAGGTGTCCGAGATACAACGTCAAGTGTCCGCACGTTAGAGTTTACATCGTACTCGTCCGTCAGATGCTGTTCTCAAATTAACACATGACTGGTGACTGACGATCATATCCGACAATAAACTTCCTTAATTTATGCCAAATTTTTATCATCTTATCATTCAAGCGAAGCCTGTAAAAAGTATAAAGCTCTTACTTCTTGTCGAAAATGGGCTTTATGTCAGTATGATTGCATCCGCCCTGCCATGACACCATCATTTATTGGCCAGTAACATTTATTGCTTTTAAAAAAGGCACAGTTTAAGTGACAATTGAACATTTTAATAAATTAATATTTTTGTAAAGATTATTTGATTTTAGCCAACTTTGCTTAAAAGCAGACCATTTTAAATAGACAATCTGTCAGCTTATATCTATTATTTATGAATCCTCCCTCCTCCAGATTCTGCGATCAATTTTCCTTGATTTTACCTAACACAAACAGTGGGATACTGGTATGTTTTTATGGTATGGTTTTATTTTCAGCTACCCTCTGGAGGAGGTTATACCTGTAAGTTGTGGTTTCCACATTAGGGAATCTTGCAGATGCTAACATATTTTGCAAGTTTTGATTGATGAATTGGCCAAAATGTTTCATTCCTGGCAAATGAAAACATGTATATTAGCTATAAAGACGACAATGGAAGAAGCACACACTCACCCTCACTTTCTGGTGGTATATGTGGGATATATTGCATTTTGAAAAGAAAATCAATTTAACCAGAGTTAAAAAACGTTCGATTTTATTACATTATTACAATCATGCAATGGAGGGGGCAAAATACATTGTGGTAATTTATGTCACTTACAAATTTGATTTGAAAAAAATCTCTTTGGCCGTTGTATCCAATGAGAAGCCGTTTATTTCATTAATGTATCACAACATTGAGATAAGATACAATTTGCTTCGTGGGGAGTACTTCTGGCACATTTTACCTGCACCTTTGGTAAGTTTTGTTCAATTGCAGCAAAGCAAGAATTTAACAGTAATAAAAGTTAAAGGTACATACGAACCGAGCATCGGTGGAGCGTGGATTCCCATTAACAAATATAAAGCACTTCTACTAGCCTCCTATACGACTCAAAAACATTCGACATGCGAAGGGATAAACTGAATAGATCACACGATCAGTCGTAAAAGAGCTTTAGACTGCTCCTTTCTTTAAAATTTTGGTCAAAAAGTTAACTTACTTCCGTAACCTACTTTTCTGCCCCAGTGACATACAGCATAGAATGCTAGCAGAAAAATCCGTTGAAAGATCATTTTCAGGTAAAATTATACAATGCCTATTGTTAATTCTATTAGTTATACTAGTTGAAACTATATGCTGGTATTTGGTTGACTTTTGTGGCAAAAAATTGACTTAAAATGCATCTATAATATGTATAATTCAAAGTAACCCATGCCAGTTAACAACAAACAAGACAATGGACAAACATCATGTGCGGCTTATAAATAATATAAACATGCAAATAAGAGGTTGAAATAATTTCAAGTTCAAAAGTATTGAACTCCATCCTGCAGAAAAACTCTATTTCCAGCTATACTCTTTTATGTAAAATGGCGTAATAAAAACATTCCTATACAAAATCTGCTTGCTCATTAAAAATTTGCCGTTAATTTAGCTACTGCTAAATTAAGACAATATTACAATTATACTCTTTGTGATAAAATAGTCATTCTTTGAATGTAATCATTTTCTTTGATTACTGTAAAATGGTATTTAAAAAAACACAAATAGGATTTTATCCATTGTAATTAAGGTGACATTTTTGCAACGTCCTCGCGTTTGCAACAACATGCTTCATATAAAAAACGTTAAGGTTGTGTCGTCGGTGCTGCTTCCCATGCGAATACACACCAAAAAGACCGTGTAAGCTTTCTCGAGAATTGCTATAAATAATTTCAAACCGAGGGTCTTTTATCTTTAAAACATGTTTGGTTCATGGAAAAGACGAAACTGCTGACGACATGAATTCTGCGTATTTCAAGGTCTAGCACCATGGCCTTTTAAGCCCAAAGTTAGGTTATGCATGCAACTCATGTGATGGCCGTCTACGCGTGCGTCCTCTCAGGGGTCGCTGGAACCAGTTCTGTTTATTTACGGGGATGTTTTTGCCCCATTGGTGTAAGCCAGTGGCTTCTTTTGGAAAACATGTAAACCTGTTCCCTGTGGCGCACAATTATACCTTACAGAACCATTCCATCCCATTTGTACAGTACGTGCAATATTCCAGAACAACTTTTACTTGCAGCATGATAATGCTACTCCTCATATCGCCCGCTTGGTTGGAAATTCCATGAACCGAAATTCTTAGTTCTGATCATTATCCAACCTGGTAAAAGCCTTTATATGAACCAAATTAAAATCTTTGGGACGGAATATTGAGAGCAGTTTACAGGATAAACCCAAGCCTTGCAAATTTACAACGGTTAAAGCAAGCTTTGACTCTTGGGTGGAACAGAATCCCCCAGCAGATATAGTTAGTTTTTAAAAATGCATAGGGTATTTGGCATCAATTACTGTTTTTTATCTTGTTGGGCGGTATGCAGCATCTGTGGGAGGGTAAGCGGGAGGAGGGTTTCCATCCTCTGTAGGAGGGTAAGGAGGAGGGGGTTCGGCAGCATCTTTTTCCGTATATTGGGGAGGGGGTTCGGCATTACTGGGTGGTTAGGCATTACTGGATCCGCTTGGTGCATCCCATGCAGGTACATGTACCCCCAGTCCCGAATGGGGTGTCAATCCTGGTCCTTGTCCTGTAGTTGGTGGTGGCATTCCTGGTCCATACCCGGCATTTGGTGCACCCTGTTGCACTACAGTCTCTGTTGTGTACACAATGGTATGTCTAGGGGTTTGTGTCACTGAAAAAATATATCATATAGTATTACCTACAGCCCTTAGTTTATTTAACATTCTTTTGCCATGTGCTTTTTTCTGTTTTAAGTGCAGTTGATAAGTGTCCGAAGGCATTGACAGAAGGAGAGAGTCACCTGCATTAATTTTGTTTCTTTCACTTACCTGCTCCTCTCCTTTGCTTATTACAGCACCCTGTTGCACAGCAGATGATGGATCCTATTATGACACATAGGACAATGAAACCGACTACAGAGCCAATTATGATACCGATTCTAAAACGGAAAAAATCGAAAATCCGAGTTAATAGTTTAATAAAGGTAACACATTCAAAAAACCATGACATTATTTCACAAATAAAAAAAAAATGACGGGACGAAATATTCAGCCTACCTACTCTAACCTGGGATGATTCAAAAGTAGAATTTCAAAATACACAAACTATTTCTTACACATTGTCATTAGTATTATTATTATTCTATTTATTTATTTCATTATCATGTAATATATATAATAGACAGTGAATGTATATGATAACAGTGACAGAACGTATCCGTATATACACATACATGTATGTTCAGATCTTTGTGCCTGCACGTGTCATCGCCGTTGCTGTTGTCAATCAAACCGTACAAATGATATTAACACACGCAAACATATAACAGCTAGTGTGACAGCTAGTATGTCAATAAAATTACACATAAAAATGAACCTACATTAGGCCTACTACACAAAAAGATGTGCGTGCACAGTGAACTCCATACTTTGGAATACGTACAGATTTGAAGCACCTGGACTGCCTGGACTGGTCGTAGGGTCGGGACATGAGGAAAGAGAGGAATAACTGTCATAGTAACTATTGTATGCAGAGGTACAGCAGTATTTATAAGTAGATGTCCCACAGCAGTATTTGGTACAGTAGAACGAGCTCTCGTAACTTCCAGATGACGTGTAATATGCACAGCAATATTCTCCTATAAACAACAAAATCAAAGGTTACGCAAATTCAAGACCAAGGTCTGATAACAAATATTTAATGTTCATATCATAATATTGTCATTCGATAGAAGGCTGTTTAAAGCAGAACACTGACAAAATGGAAAATCATACCGTCCAGGCCCAGCTTTGCATACGAACCTGTTTGGGTAGCGATTGCAAGGGCATTTAATAAACTGAATGAGAATAATTGATTAATCAATCATTGATCAAAAAGATAACTTTACTGTAAAAAATGGACATGTACCGAGTACAAACCTTTTGTCGCAGTTGGGCAGAAGGAACTAAATGAATAACTCTTGTAATATCTGCTGTAGTACGAGGTACAACAGTATTTACTGGTAGATGTCCCGCAGCAGTACTTGGAACAGTAGAACGAACTTCTGTAACTGCCAGATGACGTGTAATATGCGCAGCAATATTCTCCTGAACCTACCGTACGGACTGTAAATACAGAGGTGAAAGCTCAGGGAAAAGTCAAGGTCAGAACTCAAATCGTCACACCACACCGTTTTCACTTAACGTCGAAGTTGTATACTGACAAAGTGAAAAATTTATTCCTCTCTTATTAAATACGAACCTGTTGTTGTGGTTGGCCTGGTGGCGGAGGGGCAGAACGATCTAACAGAATAACTCGGGTAGTATCTCCTATAGGACGAGGTACAACAGTATTTACTGGTAGATGTTCCGCAGCAGTACTTGGAACAGTAGAACGAACTTCTGTAACTGCCAGATGACGTGTAATATGCGCAGCAATATTCTCCTGAACCCACCCTACGGACTGTAAATACAGAGGTGAAAGCTCATGGAAAAGTCAAGGTCAGAATTCAAATCGTCACACCACACCGTTTTCACTTAACGTCGAAGTTGTATACTGACAAAGTGAAAAAATTATTCTTCTCTTATTAAATACGAACCTGTTGTTGTGGTTGGCCTGGTGGCGGAGGGGCATAACCAACTATAAGAATAACTCGGGTAGTATCTGTTATAGGACGAGGAACAGCAGTATTTACTGGTAGATGTCCCGCAGCAGTACTTGGAACAGTAGAAGGAATCTCTGTAACTGCCAGATGACGTGTAATACGGACAGCAATATTCACGCCCGCTCACTGGAAAAGTAAAAACGATGGGATAAAGTACGCGTCAGGTTAAATATAAACCTGACCAAATTATTATTTTGAATGTTATGCTGTTTGGTAACTGTCACTAGTAACATGTTTCATAATATCAAGGAAATATACAGACACTTTGTATGGTTAATCTACCATCCCTCTTTACTTCCTTTATTTTCATCGTTATTTTCATTTAATCATGATTGAATTGACTCCTTTGACTAGATTTGCTCAAGATATTGTTAAAGAAAATAACGAATCTGTGTTCTATTTTCGTACTCATTATTTTTGGTCTTATTGCACATCCTTTTTTCTATGTAAATATTTTAATATGCAATTTTTTCTTATTCATTTCTGTACAACTTCAACCTTTTGGTTGCTGTGTTTGAGTAAACTCACTATTATTATTATTATTATTATTATTATTATTATTATTATTATAGTATAGTTACAGGTAGAATAGACAGCAGGAAGCAACCCCATATATGGACCTTGCTGTAATACCCGTAATTTTTTTTTTATATTAGGATATCTTTATTGCTTAAACCGGTGAATCTTAACAGCTGAATTCGTTCTCAATTTGTAAAAAAATTAGCCCGTTGAGGGTGGTTGTTTGCCAGCGACGGCACATACTGTTTACGAGTTCAAATTAGGACGCTAAAGAGCAAATTGATTGAGGCTAAGCAAACACGTAGACAGTTTTATTACGTATCACATTATTAATGTGTCACTCGACACGGATGTATTTTGTACCCACTGAATCCACACTGAATTTAAGGATAAAATGGAAAGTTAAAGCACTGACGGATGTGATTACTCAGTATATGTATCACACCTTCGCTCCAAAAGGCTGTGCTACATTCAACTGAGATTGCGAATAAGAGAATATGTCACCATTGTTTCGTCTACTGAATATATTTGTGTTCAAAATTCACCACAAGCTTATCAAAACTTTTGAATTAACAAAAACACAACACCGATTTCTTGATATGAATAATTGCATTAATGAATGTGAAATAATTCACTATATATTTGTCCATATTTGACTATTCGGGTCATTAGAGGTCAACTTGAGAGGTGATACAAATAAAACATTTGTAAAAAAATTCAAGAAGAAGACGCACAGTCATCATAATTTTTCAATGTTTTTAATACGATGTTTTTAATTTGAGTTACTCTTGTAATGGAGATAGAAACTGGTTGAATCATTAGTAAAAGTATATGAACAGAAATGTAGAACTCGAAGACAGATTAGGGAATTTCGCAACGGTTTTTGGTAGGAATAAACCTTAGTGACTAAGGTAAAATATTCTACACTTCTAGAACAGTACGTTTTATGCACTACAAACGTCTAACGCACATACTGTGCCTCTTAATTGTATTCTGTCAACTGTAAAGAATATTGACAGTTAAGCAGTTTGTTTTACGTACCTGAGGGTATGATTGCCAGCAAAGTTATCACACAAATTATCATGAACTTGACTTGCTTTTCCATGGCGTTGATTCAAAGAATTATAAGCTTGTGACAACTTTGAAGAGTTCGCAAAAAACCCACTCCACAGAGATCGTCAATTACCGAAAATATGACTTCGCGTTGTAACAGTTTCGTCTGCGGTCCAGACGAACTTAAAGTCTAGATTGGCGACATTCCCAAGTAGTGGGTCACACGTCAACTGATTGAACAGTAAACCCCTAAAGCATTTAATGACATGTCACCGTAAATCTTATAAGCTACCTCCACCTAACATGGGTCTTGCTTGTATGCAGTTGCTATTGGAGTCGTCATAAGTCGATTACGCATGCGTCACTCCTAGATACAGCTTAAGCAACCCCAGGTGTTCGTACGTAAGAGTTTACATCGTACTCGTCCGTCAGATGCTGTTCTCAAACGAAAACATGACTGGTGACTGACGATCATTAACGACAGTAAACTTTCTTTATTTTTGCCATTTTTTTAAAATCGCCTTTATCATTCGGCTGCAATATAAGCTGTGCTTGTAGACTGTATACCAAACAAACAAAGGAGGGGTGAAAATATGCTTTTATTTTCAGCTACCCTCTGGAGGAAGATGCAATTTGTTGTTTCCACATAAGGGCATCTTGCAGATCAGAAAATGCGTTTTGATTGTAGAATGTGCCATAATATATCACTTCTGGCGAATGAAAACATGTAATTATGTCGACCGAGCTGCTTTCCATGGGAATACACACAATAAGGACAGTAATTCTGTCATGTGTAAGATTCATGAAGAAATGCTATTAAACATTTCAAAATCGAAATGTTTGTATCTTTAAAACTTGCTTGGTTCATAGAAAAGACGAAACTGATGACGACATGAATCCTTTGTGGACAAAATTTCATTCTGCAAAGTTGAATACAATATCTCGTCATAATAAATTGACGTGGGTGTTTTTGCTAACCCAAGTTATTTTAAAAAGCGTATTTTTGTACAATTCTGTCCTTTGATAATAATCAATCACAAATTCCTATTGAAATAGACAAAAAAACTGAGAAAAATATAAGTTTATATAAATCGGATTAATACCTCGCCCGTTCTTCCAATTATTCCTTATTGTTAAGGAAAAATAGTAACTACCCCTGTAGCTCTTTATATTGTATTTGCAAAGACTATACAAGTATAACGAGTGCAAGGCCTGTTTTTAACTTGGAGGGGGGTATGCAGCGCCTGTGGGAGGGTAAGGGGGCTTGCAGCGCCTGTGGGAGGGTAAGAGGTAGGGGGGTATGCAAAATCTCTTCCCGGGTATAGGGGAGGGGGTTCAGCATGACTGGATCCGCTCAGTGCATCCGGTGCATGTACCCCTGGTCCTGAATTGGGTGCCAATCCTGGTCCTAGTCCTGTAGTCGGTGGTGAAATTCCTGGCATATACCCCGTATTCGATGGAGGTGGCGAAAACCCGACTGGATAGCCCTGCAATATGGTCGCCGTCGTGTATACAGCGCCATTTCCCATTGCTACTGTAAAGATACAATATCCAGTGTTACCCGCAGTCCTTGCTTTCAAATCCTTCTTAACATGTATATTTTTCCTATTTAAAAAATTTTAAAAATTTTAAAAAAGATATAATGTACGGCATGATTAGACGGGGATAAATTCAAAAGGTTAACAGTGTTTTTCATTCTCTCTTACCTGTTCCTCTTCTTTGCCCACAGCATCCGGTTGCGCAGCAGATGACAACTCCTATGATGACACACAGGGCGATGAAACCGACAACAGAGCCAACTATGGCACCGATACTTAAAGAAAAAGAAAACCGACACCTTGAATTAATAGTTTTAAAATTAACACACGTTTGAAAATCGTTTCTCTGTTTTAAAAAAGAACTCGGGACAAAAAATAAATTCTACTTTCACCCGGGCTAAGAAAATATCTCTGGATCCGGCCCTGCAAAACACACGAAAGTACATGCTATACTGTAAAAACTTGACAAATTCTTTAAATGGTACTTTAGATTAGTTACTTACACATTAAAAACAACTGGATTGCTAGGAGGTGGCGTAGGGGTGGGGCATGACGAAAGGGTGGAATAACTCGGATAGTATCTAACGTACTCCGAGGCACAGCAGTATTTGTTGGTAGATGTCCCGCAGCAGTACTTGGTACAGTGGAATGAGCCCTCGTAACTTCCATTAGACGTGTAATATGGACAGCAGTATTCCCCTGTGAACAGAGAGATCAAAGGTCAAAGTCAGATATAAAAAATCCACACAAAGAATTAAATTTACACTTCACAGAATGCATCACTGATAAAATTTAATTGTACATACCCCAGTACATGTACGAACATTTTGTCACGGTTGGGCATAACCAACTGGCGGAAAAACTCGGGAAGTATCTCCTATAGGACGATGTACAGCAGTATTTACTGGTAGATGTCCCGCAGCAGTACTTAGAACAGTAGAAATTGTCCGTGAACGTGCCATTTGACGTGAAATACTGGCAGCAATATTCACCTCCGCTAGCTGGAAAAAGTTAAAACTATGATTACTGGGTACTGGAAGATCAGATCCAGTTAGAAAATTAGCACATGTATGGTCAGGCAATTATTTCAAAAGTAATCTCATAGGCCTACTCTGTTTAGCTTCTGGATCTACCTGTTGGCTTTAATGTGGGTCATTGTTGTGAATAAGCCTGATAATTTTTCTTTCTCACTTTTGCGGTAAGATTGTTTGGGT